TAGCTAAATAGCTATGGTGTCCTTTTACAGTTACATCATTTGAAACGTAGGTATTCTTTTTCATTAAGGGAGTATAAATGAGCCATGGAACAGAAAATTAAAATAAGAAGCTGGCCAGTAAGAAGCAAATCCTAGCGTCATAGTAAGGTGTGCACTGATACTGCCACTAGTGATCAACAAACCTAACATTTTACCTTTTAAAATGTGTTGTTTTCCAACTAAAAGGTACAAGTGAAAAAAGTTATGCTGTGAATGGGCTAGTAATCTTAGCCGCGGTGTCAGAGGTTAACATTTATGTATCCAGTAAAACCAGCATGTGTTGTGCTTTGGATGCTGGTATGCTGGTCAGTAGCAAAGGAAGTTAATATGCTGGCCAACAGCAAAATCAACATATGTTTTGAATGTTCGCATGCTGTTCAACCAGCATAACTTCGCTGGGTGACCAGCTAAACCAGTATGAGACTAGCAAAAACCAAAGTAAACCAGTATAGACCAGCATGGAATTCATAGTGGCCGGTGCTGTTTTTTTTCAGCAGGGGTTAGCATATCCAGATCATTACATTACGTTGTTTAGATTGTGCGGATCTAGACTGCCAAAAAGTTGATGGGCACTGCTCTGGAGTCAGTTAAGATACACTTCCATTTCATTTGGATTAATGTCAAGCATGACAAGCATGAAAAATGCAATAAACCATGTGAATATGGTGGAACAATCTTATTCCCAAGCCCTGTTGGCTAGCTAATTTAGCTAATGTAAGATAACAGTGAAGGTAAGCTAATGGGTTAACCTAGCTACAGACAGTATCTACCTTTCATCTAGTTTTCTGTTAGGTGAATATTGACTAAAAGTAGTAGTTTTTCAGCAGTCTGTGTACTCCAGTCATTTTCGTTAACATATTTACTTTTATTGAAAGGAATTTACACAGGATTTTTTTAGTACTCTTTGGTTGGGACCTTGTTAGCTGCTGAAAACATCTTGTTGAGGCATTTCAGAAAACTTTTTTTACATATAAAATGTTTGTTTTGGAAATAAAGAAATAAATAAGCATCAACTATCTTCTGTACAGAATGTCCCCCAGCCTGTTTCATCAAATCAAAGTGTGATTGTACTTTACATGTTTAATTAGAATTACACTCAGCCTCCTTATCTACACACTGACCCAATGTCATTTAAAGTGTGACATTCTTTGAGGATTTTTATCTGAAAAGAAGCTCACTGTGCTCCTGTAGTAACTCATCCTGCCTTTTAGAACCTGTTGATTTAAGTTTATAGTCAAACTATTACCGTCTAATAGATTTATAAAGTGATGGTTCAGCAAAAAGTCTCATTCATCCAGTTTCCGTTCTTACCCTAAATGTAGTTTGGTGTCTGCAGTTTTAGTTTTAGCACTGGGGCAATCAGGCTAAAAGGAAATTCCATTGATTATTCAAAATTTCTCTAAAATTCAGTGCTTGAGATGTAAAGTCATTCAGAGTGGTTTGATGTGAAATGGTTCGTTGTAGAAAGTCAGATGTCTTTACAGTGGTGGTGATAGGAACCAGGGATCACAATGTCTACAACAGAAATATAGCCATTTTATTTACTATCCAAAACCACCAGTGAACCTACATGTGTCTTCTGAGGTTTTATATGTAATGTTGATGATGGCAAAATAGAGAAAAAATATTTTTAAAAATGTTTTTGGAGATTTTTTGCTCTGTATGTACCTTTCCATTCTAAATGGACTGAAAAAATAAAAAAAAAAATATTTAGGCCAAAATCATACTGTAAAACAATTGTAAAACAATGGCTCAGACATCAGGCAGTGAATTCATAATCATTTCATGTAACAACTTTCTGTGAGGGAGCTTTTAGAGGTGGACATCTGGTTCCTATCAGCACCACTGTGAACAATTCTGACTCAGTAAATTTCTCTAGAACAGAGCATTTCACACCAAACCACTCTGAAAGACTTTAAGATCTTAACCTTTTAACTATACATACATTTAGAAAAAACAGTGGAGTTCCCTTTTAAGTAATTAAAAAATTCCCTTTAATCACCTTTAGTTCGATTATCCCCTATCTTACAAACCTACACTAGGCTTGTAACTCTTCTAATAAAACTAAAGAAGTAAACTTAGACACCAAACATTTCTTGGCTGATCAGGACATGGGGAATTAGATATTTTGCTGAACTATCGCTTTAACAGCTTCTTCAGCTTTCCTGCAGCAGCAGCTGAGAGTGTTGTGGGTTTTGGTGAATTCTGATACGGGACAGTTGTTGGGATCGGGCACACAGGTGGCTCAAGTATAGACCAGCTGGCAGCATAACACACCCTGTGCATGTGTGGGGGGTGGGGGGGAGTTGGTTGTCTGCTTCGCTCTCTCTCTCTCTCTCACACACACACACACATACACACACACACACACTCACACCCTGCTGACTCAGCAGCTCTGACACTACAAAACAATGTTAAACTGTGTGAGAAAATTCCCCTCAAAACTCAAACTAAACTCAACATCATTGCTGAGTATCTCTCATTATCGTCCTGCTGATGAGGTTACACTGTAAGACTGTTACAGAGCTGCATATACAGTGTTTAAATTTGACTAAATTATAATTTAGTCAAACAATTACTTTAAATTAAATGACACCAATTACAACTGCTTCTTACCACATGAAGTATATTTTTTGATTGAATAACTATCGTGTCCATACAATGTCTTGCATATAATCATCCATATGTGACTTTTACAACTTCATATAAATCATTATCTGTCCCTTTGTCTGCCTGTCTATCTATCTGACTGTCTATCTGTATCTATATATATATATATATATATATATATATATATATATATATATATATATATGTGTGTGTGTGTGTGTATATATATATATATATATATATGTCTTTCTATCTGTATGTCACTCTATCTGTCCATCTTTCTATTTGGCTATCTGTCTTTCTATCTGTCTGTCCACCTATCTTTCTATCTATTGATCTATCTATCTCTCTATCTCTCTGCTTATCTATATTTACAATACAGAAACACATACTGTCATCAGTCCTCCTTAATTAAATTAATTAAATTGAGATTACTGTGGTCCATCTGCAAATCATTACTTCGGTATAAGTGTGATGTATGACCTGTTTATATGAATGTAATTCATTATTTCTTAAGTATAATAAAATATTATTGGATTAAATTCAGTTTCAGCTCTGATATCTGGATTAAACGTTACTAAAAGCTCTGACTCTGTAATTACTTTGTGTGAGATTCAACATGAAAACCTGATCTTCACATTCAAACATAGGAAAAGTGAAGTTAGCCAGAGAGAAAACTAACAAGGGGGTCAGAGCTCAGATCATTTATAACAGCACGGTTCAGTGGTGAAAGAATAAAGTGTCTCTAAATGCTCTGCTGTTACTTCAGTCGAATAATGAGCCCAGTTTAAAAAATGTTTTGTTATTTGAAAATACTCAGAGAAGTACAAATACATCAGAATTTCACTTAGTAAAAGTTTTCTGAGTAAACGTTGTGAGTTAATACATGCAGCTGTGTTACCTGTTGCGCTTCGTCTCCGCAAAACTCTCCCACCCGACAACCCCTCAGCCTCTTCTTCTCTTTTCCCTTCAGCCATCAGATCCTTTAGTTATAACAGCAGAAGAAATCAGAAGTGCAGAGTGAGACTTAAAAGTTAAACATCTTATTCTAGAACAGATGTCCTCTCACTTTCTCCCATAGTTAATGCTGAACAAGAAAACAGCTCAGCTCTGCTGCCCCGTCCAGCAAAAAGTGAGAGTGATGAATGAGTGAGAGCAGCAATGGTGAGGGTTTAATCACAACGTCCAGAGGGCGCTGAGGAGCAGCACTGAGGGGCGTTTATTAGAGAATCCACCAGAGGGCGCTGAGGAGCAGCATTGAGTGGCGTTTATTAGAGAATCCACGAGAGGGCGCTGAGGAGCAGCACTGAGGGGCGTTTATTAGAGAATCCACGAGAGGGCGCTGAGGAGCAGCACATGTAAGGAATGACGGATTAAAATAAATATAAATATGAAATCTGTTGTTTTTTCTAATTACGATTTCGACCAACATTCTTATTATATGTAATATGTATTGTTATTGTTTTGGAAAACTCTATATAAACGTATCACAATGCATTTCAAGGCATAATTTTATTCAAAGCTATTATACCCCATAGATATACATATCTAGATGCCGCGTTGTCTGTTGTTCTTTATCTGAGGCGATTTCTTTAATAACTGATCGTGCTAATTAGCCGTCCGGACCAGCAGGAAAGTATTCAGTCTGCACCTGACGCGATTTTAGCGCGAGCTCCGGTAAAAACACAATCAGCAAATCCATCAATGTGTGAATCACTTCTAATCTTTATACACAGAACGGTGAAGCTAAAATTGGCTTCCTATTCGCCAGCTTCTTGTTCGAGTTTTCCTGCTATCACAGCATTTTGAAAATTGGAGACGTGATGACACGGTCGAATAATAAAGAATGAATAAGAAAAACTGTAAGTGATTTAAACTAGTACTGTACATTTGTTTGGGAATGTTATTTAGCCTCATTAAAAATGGCCTAGCGACATCCCTGGTCTAGAATATTCTCTTCTCATTATTCACTCTAGTTTTACTAGTGGTTTCTTTTTCTGATGATTCTGAGGACATCTGCCGAAATAAGAATGTTCGTTCGTGTTTGTCCCGTCAGTGTACTCTGACATTAACAAAGACAGCCTGTTTAATGATCAGGGCTAAAGAGGGGTTGAAAATGGTCATATTAAATGGCTCATGACTATTTTTGGTACATAAAATCGCACAAACGTGCACATCAGGAAAAAAACAGGAAAATTGTAAGATATGGGCCCTTTAACGGTGTAGAGACAATTTTACCAGAGGAGGGCGCCATTGTTCAAACAATAATGAAAGCGGGTGAAACGTCAGCGCCACGCTTTCAAGAGTAACGGGGTGCGTAGAGGGCGTGACCCTTCAGTGAGGGGGCGGGGCGTTCTGCCACTCAGCTCCCAGGTGGCAGAGAGAGACAGAGAGGGAGAGAGCCTGTGTAGAAGTGCGTCGTATTGAAAAATACAGACAGTCTGAGAGAGACTGACAGAGGACTAAGAGAAGGAGAATAGCTTGAAGAGTTTGGGCTGTTTATTCAGAAAAGGAAGTACACCTTCACTCTCAGCACCTGGCGGAATTACACCTGTAGAGGTGAGTTTTACCTGTTTTACCTCCTCAGCCTGCTCAGACTGACTGACGGACTGCTGCGTTTGGCTGGTGTCGTCGTTGTTTTTGTCGTTCTTTGGTAAAGCTGTTGAGCAGGATTGCTCAATAATGCCGGATAACTTAGGCCAACACATGAGAGCTTTTGGTTTCTTCTTTCCATCTAAGTTAGCTAAAACCCCTCTAGTATTTAAGTCTTCGAGGTTATCGGTGTTAAAAGTTTGTGTAGGTAAACAATGCTAATGCTAATTTGTTCTCTGTTTTGCTGTAAATATATGCTAAAGTAGCCTAAAGTAGCCTTTGTTCTTGTTTTTAAAGCCGTTAGAGCAGGAAAACTGTGGAATTTGCATCGCCACATTTTGCCTCGGCTTTGTATGGTCCAGAAGGTCATTTCACAAGGAACTGTTTTCAGATAGCCTGATAAAGTGATAAAGTCAGGCCAATAAGGAGGGGAGAGTTAGTTTATCTGGACAGTTAAAGCCCAGTTAGCACCGTCCAATTATAAAGTAATGTCTCTTAGTTTTCTTACGTTCACTGTAAAAAATTCTGTAATGCAGTAAAAATTCTGAGAGAAAAACAGTATTTTTGCACATCCAATTATTATGGAAATCTATATTGGGCTATTATCTTGAAAAAAATAATTTCTTAATTTCATTTTTTTAAACAAAAGACTGTGATGTAATATGTAAACATTGTTAAAGTTTGTACGCCTGCGACAGCAGCCTGTTTTGAACGTACTTTTCTGTGATGTCACAAAGACCAACACATTCAGATCCACCTGTTCAGTCTACAGCAGTTTAGCTCCGCCCACTCACGTTGAAGCTAATAGGAACGTTCCCCTTGAGTACTTTCTTAAAGAAGGCAGCCAATCAGAACAGAGCTCATTGACATATGTTAGTCTTAAAGGTACAGCATCGAAAATTCGAAAAAAGAGTGGAAAATGGACATGTAAACATGAATTATGGCTGTTTATGGTGTGTGAACAAACGTTAGTGGACCTCAGGGGAAAATGAATAAAGCACAATTAGTCCTACTTAACTGAATTTAGTGACTAATAGACTTAGTAAAAATCACTGTGTTTATAGTTTTTAAAAGTAATTTTATTACACGTGGCGCTACTTATGCATAGTGTCTGTTCTAACTTGGCAAACCTCAGAAAAACTAAATATTGCATGCCTTTTTTTTGTCTCAAAGTATCGTGATGTTATATTTTTGCCATATCACCCACACCATTTAAAATAATATTACTTAAAAGAAAATCATATTTTTAGTCACATTTATAGTTTATTACTGTAATTTCAGATTCCCCAAATTAGATAAAGAATCAGATAATCGTGTAGTATCTATCCAACTCTGACTAACTGTGAAATCTCCCATCCTTTATGGATAACTTAAAGGGGAATTCCACCAATTTCCCCATAATTCAGTTTGCGATGTCTGCAACACAAATATAACCATTTTCTTTACTATCCAAAACCACCAGTGGATCCACACGTGTCTTCTGAGTTTTTATATGTAATGCTGACAATGGTAAAATAGTCATACATTTGAAACACTAAGGTTTTTTGGGGACTGTTTTGCTCCACAACACCCTCCGCGTACCCCACTTTAACTTTGACTTCAAAATAATATATAAATTTTAGACCAAAATCAAAATGTTGTTACAGGCATCAGGCAAGGTATTAATAACCATTTCATGTAATACCTATCTGTGAGGGAAGCTTTTAGAGTTGGATGTCTGGCTTCTTTCACCACCACTGTGAACTATTGACTTTGCATCTTTACCATTTAATTCTGCAGGAGTTTAGAAAAATCAACCCAAAGTCAATACTGTCCAATGATGACAACACTCCTATTGGAGCTGTCTTAAATGATCTAGCTTGTAGGAAACTTCTGCTTTGTGAAAAAAACCCGAAGACTGCTGCTCTAGATTCCACTGGCAGAACATCATCACTTTCTAAACATTTCCAAGTACTGTTTTGAAGACCATGGGAATATTTCCGGTATTGCTCTAAGACTATGTTTCTACAATAGATATACATATAATAGAGCTATTATTTGTATATCAGTTTTACCATCCATGAACCTACGAGGTCAAAACACCAATTTGGTTTCTACGACTCCCATCATGAGCCTTTAGGATTTCATTGAGGACTATTTGACTTACATTAGTGATGCATTACTGGCTGTTCTGCAGTTGGACCTCCTGCTGCGTCATTTCACGTTTTAGCATCCAGACTTCTATATGCATCAAGTGCATGCTTATATGGATATTTTTGCCAGAAATGTGAAAGCAGCTATTCCATTTGCAGTGCAAACCGGAGGAAATGGCCTGAGGCCTGGAGGTCTCAGGTCTGTATCTGCATTAGGTTACTACAATCTGATCACGCTCAGAAAGAAGCCCATCTATATTTTACACCTGCATCATCTTTTATTTAAAATCCATTGAGATTTAATTATTTAAAGCAAGGTGTGCTATGTAAGGAACTCACACACGTTTCTCCACCTTTCATCTATAGATGCTGTAAGTTCTGAGGAACTTTGTGCACTAGTTTTTAAATAATTTTCCAGCTAAAAAGTTCCCTTTCTCACCTATATGTGACCTGTGGACTATTTAAATAAAACAATAGTATCGCCCTCTACACTTCCTGTAGTGTATTACAGTTTGTCAGAATGACTGTGTGGATCATATAAACATTACAGAGCGCTTTTTGAAAGAATAATAGAAGCCATATTGAAGCCATATTAATAATAATTAACAATAATTTGTAATTGGTTATTAATTATTATTACTATTATTACTATTATTTTTCCATATTTTACCATTTTACACATTTTAGAATAATTGTAAATTTTTCAGAAACTATGAAATAATTAATTGGGTAAAGAACAGCCAAGCACACACTTCAGTATCGTTACGTCACTGTGTTTTTTTTTTTAAAGGTCTAAAGCTCTGAATGTGTCTGCAGTAAATACCAAAGGTGTGTGTTACAGAGCAGAAAAGCAGGTTTGGTCAGTTTTCCTTCTGTATGTAGGATGCAGTGATGAAACCAAGTGCTTTTATCTCATATTGACGTGTGTTTGTGATATGATGTAGATACGTCTGCACTGATTGCTCTTTCTCTAAAGCTATTGGCTGATCTAAAAGTTATTGTTGTTAAGTTATTGTAGTGTCTACAGTAATGTTTTGCAGAAAGAAAAAACATTCTTTAGGTTTTTGGCATGGTTTTGTTGAGTAAATAGTGGGTGCTGAGCTTTAGTCAGGTTCAGTATAAATGGCTGATAGGTTAACTTGTTAAAGAGTTTTTGAACAGTGTAAAGCTGTGTAACAGACAGCCTTTGTGACCTCATAGTGAGCGGTTAATGAGTGAAGTTCAGGGCAGTTTTGCGCAAACTCCATTTATTTATTTATTTAATTAATGTCGTTACATTGTGCGGTTTTCATGAGTAATAGACCAATATAAATGGTACAAAATTGCTCACAGTTGTTCATTAACAATAACATACATATTGGCACCAACATATTAAAACCTTGTAACTCTATTTATTTGCTTGTTTATGTATTTATTTATTTATTTTTTTTTTATTTTATCTTTATGTGCCATTTGAACGTGTCAGCTGTCCTGTACATTGTGGAAACATGTCCTAATGATTGCAACAGAAATTGTCCAAAATATCTTTGTCTTTATCTTTATTGTAATAAAAATATCTTTACATTGTTGTACATTAAAGTTGAATGCATTTTTCTCTGGTAAAGTTATCATATTGCAGTTACAGGATCTTGTGCCAGTGGTGACAGTATATGTACATACTGTGCAGAAGTATTCGGACAGGATTAGTTGTACATGTTGAGGTGGAGTGATGTATTTTTTACTTGTGTTTTTCTGTGATTTTATTCCCGTCTGAACCGACCATGTCGGTTGTTTTTACCGACTTCACTCCCGCATCAGTAAAGATTCCAGCCCCCTTTACTTTCTATAAAACGAGCCATAGAAAAAAAACAGGTTACATTAAATCCATGCAAATTGACGTGTCAGTAAATATGCTGTCATGTTCTCTGGAGAATGTATGGAAGCTCTCAACAAAGTGTTTACTTGTGTTCTTTTTCGCTAAAATCAAGATAAACAACTTAGAACATTAAAATGTGAAAATTATTTGAAAAACCTTTGCGTTTTTGTGGTGACATTGACTGTTGGCTATGAATTCCCCAGCTAATGACACACTGCATTCATTTAAGACAGCTAGACCGGTGGTTATTAAGTGTTTTTGGAGTAAAGGTTGTGCATAAAGAGAGAAGCCCCTCCCATCTCTGTCATTTATACTGAGATTTCTTGTTCTGTGCCAATTAGTCACAAATGTTACATAGAAATGTTCCCATGGAAAATCCTGTCCGAATAGGGCTTAAAACACCTAAATAGTTTTAAACAGTTTTCTTATCTAGGCGGTAAGTGCATTTTTCCCAGTAAAAATACCACATATCATTAAAATAAATACAAATAAACATAACAGAAACCCATAACATTTATTTTATAATTTCTTTTGAAAATTTGAAAATTAGTTTATATCTTCTAAGCTAGTTCGAAGAGTACAGTTACAGGATCACAGGCTTGGTTTTTGACTTCTCACTGCACTCCAGCCATCACATAGATTTGTTCACTTCTATCAGCAGCACCTGAAATAATTTAATGAAGTGTTGATTAGATAAAGCAGGGACTGGATGATAACTGCAAATAATACTGGGCTTCACCGAGGTGAGGGCAGGAAATGGTAAAACAAACACATGTACACACATAAAATCACTACTTATGCTATTAATGTTAAGTGTATTTATTGTAGTGCAGTGCTTTTCTGAGAAAATAAACACTTACTGTCCAGTGTATGTAAAGGACAGACTTACTTTCTCTGTTCTCTAGCTTTTTCTCTCTCTCTGTTTCTCTGCATTTTCTCTGACTCTCTTTCTGTCTTCTTTCTGTCTCTCTCCCTGTCCT